CACTCCATGCTTAATCTCTGGGGTCTTCCATCTAGGGAATGGCCATGTCTTACTTGAGGGAGTCTTACGGTTGGCAGGCTTTGATCCCCGCTTGCTAGCATCCAAGCAAAACGAGTTTTAAGGAACAGCAAAAAACATGTAGCTCTTACCGCACGGAGTGTTTTGCAAGCAGGGATTCTCAAAACATTTTGCAAAGGAGGGGGAAGTATCCTTATTTCCATTTTGCAGACAGGAACACTGAGTCATAGAGAGGTGAAGAATTTGTGTACAGGGTCACTGAGCATGTCAGAGCTGTGAACAGAACTGAGGGGGTAGATTCTCTTCTCTGCCAAGATCTGCTTGATAGTGTGGACAGGAGAGCTCAATCAGGAAACAGATTATGGTTTCCTGATCCTCAGTCAGCCCTGTCCTCAGTGTAAACTAGAGCAGACTAAAGGTTACTCTAATTTACGGCAGTTGGCTGTGGTACTCCCAGGATGATATGCCTGCTGTGAATAACAGTAACATAACTCCACCTCTGACCCTGACCCTTCACCAAGGTGGGGGTGGCAGATGGTTTATGGAGTCAGCTCTGCCAGCTTTACACCAAATGTAAATTCCTGTCAGGGCCAGGCCGTGGGCACTGGTCAGTTGCTAAGTTGCAGTCAGAAACTGAGTAGTGGGGTCAGTGTCGAGGCAGGTCAGGATAGCAGGAATTTGGGGGTCAGGCACCAAGTTGAAGGCGGGAGGTGAATAGCAGAATCAGGATATCAGGAAGTCTGGTCAGGTGCCAGGTTACAGACAGCAAGCAAATAGCAAAGTCGAGAACAAACCAGGCTCAGAAGCTGGAGTTTACGATCTACAGCAAGCAGGGTCTGGAGCGGAAGCAGGCAGGCAGTCTGTGTGGTTGCTCAGACAGCTCTCCATGATGGCTTCCTGGTTTAAAAACTAGCAACAGCCAATCAGTGAGCTGGAAGGGGCCACCATTCAGATCCTGCTGGACAGGACTTCCTGCAGAACCCAGATTCATGGGGTCCTCAAGGGGAAACCAAGCCTAAGCATCCAGTGGCGATGCGGATGGTCAGTGGCTCAGAACCCCCATGGTCCCAGGTTCTAGTCCAGCAGCGTCTTACAATTTCCTTCATTTAGGGGAATTCTCAACTTGCAGTTGTGGCCAGACTACAGCTCAAAGGGTCCAGAACAAGGACAGTGAATCTAACCCATTGTCTCCTGACTCCTAGTTCAGTGCACTATCCATGGGATCATGCAGCCTCTCAATATCAAGTCAATTATTCACAAGCATCAAAAACCTCCAGCATCTTCTCATTGCACCAGAAATGTCTCACCAATCACCAAACCAAGTCTCTTCACCTGACCTGAATCTCATGTCTTGTCTCTCTAACATTGTGATCTCTGGGGGAGAGGGATTGTGACTACAGGAATGGTTAACTGTAAGTAGCTAGGTCAGACTACCACTGGGATGGGTTTCACTCAGGAGGTAGCAGGCATTTGCCTGGTCTCATGTGTAGGTTTTGAGGCTTAACATCATACAGTAGAGGATTAAACAAAACCAAAAAGCCCTTAACTTCTCTTTTCCTTTCAGGCTGGAAAACAGGAACTGACTAATCAACCTAATCCTAAACCTGGCATCCAGTCAGATCTTTATTTCCACTTGCAGTTCCTCCAACTCACTTCCGAGCTCATGGATGCAAGCTGCCGAGGCGTTTCCTGTTCAAGGTGGTTCTTTAGCAAGAAAGCCAGCCGAGCCAGCCAGCCAGCGTGGGTTGAATGTAGGTGGAGGGAAATTATTCCGGAACTGCTCCCAGCAAATGGAATAATGATTCCAAATTAAGCAGGGCTCCACAGTGCTGCACCCAGCCCTGAATGGAAATGAGTCCTGATTGGACTACGCTTTATGAGTGAAACTAACACAGGGAATCTTTCCAAAGTTAGACCCTGTGTTAGAATGAGTGCAGAGCCGCTGTGCCTTATTAAAGCTACAGTGCCTGGAATTTGATTCCCAAATTATTATCTTGTTGGAGACTTGCTGTTGCTACCCTTGGGTTTAGATTAACAAGGCACTGCCTATCTCTTCCTGTCTGATCACGGACATTGGAGACAGACAGCTTTGAAGACACTGTAAGATCCTCCTGGTTACTGAACATGAACTACAGAGCTGAAACAATATTGGGAAACTTCAGTGTAGCAAGAGCATCATCGTGCACTGCAGCTGGGGGAAAACTCTCTCGTCCCTTTATGTAAAGGCACAGACATTTAAACCAACTCTGCAAAACTGGACTGCAAGTATTGTGGGAAGATCCCTGTCTCGAGGTGTCTCAGCATTCCTGCTCCCAGGTGCAGGAGGCCAGAGATGTGCAAAAATGGAAAATATGTCGGGAAAAGTTGCTTGGACCTTTATGAATCTCAAAACTGGATTGGTTCAAGTTTTGGAGGAAGATCTGTGGGAAGGAACCAGTCTCATTTTAGCTGAACTGATTTCTTATCTTTAGATAAGGCAGATGCATGCAGGGGCAAAATTTGCTCTCAGTCGTCGGCAAACCTATTGGTGTACACTTGTTGAGGTTACATCTGTGCAAGTAAGCAGGGTTACAGCATTGTAACTGAGGACCGACTTTAGCCCTAAATATTCAGTGCAAGCTTCTCAGTACTAGAACTCCAGTGGATAAAACTAAAACCCCCTGATAAACATTCTATATGAATCCCATGGAAACAATCAAACAAGACTGGCTTCCAAAAGCCCAGGGTTTGCAAAGCTCGAGGAAACACTGGCCCTTATTGCTCCACCAATGGTTCGATATGTCAAACATCTTATTTGTAGGCATAATCTTCTTCCAGAAAACTGGCTGCTGCATGAGCAGAAATAATAGCAACAGTGACACATGCTTCCTACAAAGGAATGGTGGCACAAATGCCGGTTTTATAATACAAGGCACAGCCCACCTCAGAGTTAAATGACAGGGGCTGGTTTTTTCTTAATTGCATTTTAGCTTTATTCATCACGTGGTATGTATTCAAGAAGATAGATAGGGCAGATGGGGTGACAGCCCAGGAGAAGCACTCTTGCTGAGTGTTCCTTGCCAATTCTGGTGCCATCCCAGGAAAATAGCAGAACTAGTGCAAAAATCCTAAGACACAATCAGCCTGCGAAAGCTTTCTGCAGCATCTTGTATCCTAATATTTGCAACTAATTGGCATCTAAGAAAAAGGGTTACGATGAAGGAGCACATGGGAGTCAGGAGACCTGGGTTCTATTTGCAGCTCTGCCACCGACTCACTTTGTGGCCGTGGCAAGAGTCACATCACCTCTGTGTGCCTCAGTTCCTCCTTCTGTAAAAAAGAGGGCGTAAAATGGTCATTCGCCTATGTGGAGTTACTACCATTCTCTATTATTTGTTCCAGTAGCACCCAAAATCAGAGAGGGCACAGTCCCTGCACCGAAGAGCTCACACTGGAAGAGACAGAACATGTGGATGCGAAAGGGGTACAATATCTAAGTAAGGTGGTAACACACTGAGTGGTCGGAGTAAGACCCAAACAACCATTAATCCCAGTTTATCCCAAATGGGAATACTCTGGTGAGGAAAGGCTACAGGACCGGGCCCTAATGGAAGCACTCAGTTATTGTGCTGAGGGGAGCCAGATAAACTGACGGGTAAATAGACAGAAAATAAAGGATTCAGGGGGCGTACATGCTTATCGATAGCAACAAAGATCCTGAGGCGAACCTGCTCGGAATTTTAAACCACAAAGGTTCAACAAATGTAAGAGACGGCTTTGATTGTTCTCTTCTCCTGCCTTAACGTGACATGAAATTGTGGCACAGTGTGAAACAGTGAAAAGCTCAGCTCAGCTTGTTACCTTGCTTGCAACAGTGTTTCCACGTGGCCATGAATCTATCTATATGTTTGATGAGAGGAAGGAAGGTCCAGTGATTAGAGTGCCAGCCAGGGAGATTCAATCCCCTACTCTGCCACAGACTTCTTGGGAGGCCTTGGGCAAGCCACTTAGTCTTTCTGTTCCTCAGTTCTCCATCTGTGCAATGGGGATTGCAACACTTCCTTACCTCACGGGGTGTTCTGAGGATAAATGCATTAACGTTTGTGATACGAGGAGGATACTATGAGGATGGGGGCCATATATGTACCGTAGTAGACGTAACTATAGTGTATCAACCTCTACAGTTAGCTATAATTTACAAGGAAACTGTACAGCCCTAACTGTAGAGGTTAATAATTTTATAATGAATTTGCTGACCCTGCAAATATTCTGGGCTCTCACAGGGCCAGATCTTCCTTTCCCTTCCACAGGTGCAATGCCACTGACTTCAGTGGGACTGCAGGAGTGTAAATGAGGGGAGGACTAAGCCCATTATTTCAGTTGGCTGCCTCACAGAAATTTAGAATAAATAATATTAGTACTGGATCGATGGCTGCAGCCAGCCCATCTCGGCCTGTGGGTCTTGGATGGGTCTTGGATGTACAAGCTAAGCAGGGCTGGGTCTTGGATGTAAAGCAAAATGACAACCTCGTACTGCAGGGAGTGGCCCTGGCAGCATGGTAAGTGTGTTGGGGGAGTCAGCTGCATTGTCCTTCCTCACTACTAGGTTGAACTGGGTGCTACGCTCTTCCTACCTAAATGGCTGCTGTTTCATCTGAACGCCCCATTCTTCCTTACTCCTCCCCCTAAATTGTTGTTGCCTGTTATTAGACAGATCCTCTGTTCCACCCCAGAGAAAAGTGCATGTCAGGGACTCGTCTACGCACGTAAAAATGCTCTGGGATTCCTTCAGGATGAACACCCCCCTATTGCTGTCCGATATTAACACGCTGAGCATACCACCACAGAAATGGTGAGACATCGCAATAAGAAAGAAACGTTAGCAGGCAATTCCTGCAAATGATGAACCCTGTGGCCTACCTACTCCTATTGATCATTTAGACGAAAGCTAGCTTAACAGAAGCGTACACTGAGTTTAGAATCAAAGCATTTTTCTTTTTTACCCAGAAAACTGTGGGCAGGTTTATCCTCCACCACTCGGATCCGTCGAGCACCCGCAGGGATCACAGCTGCTTCAATATAACCTAGGGCAACAAAAGGTCACATGGATGAGAGTATTCCACAGCCAGCCAGAGGCATTCTGTAATTTAGTATCATCCCCCAAAAAATCAACTCCGCTCCAGCTTTTGTAATGGTTGGGAAACACTCGAAAGGTAGGAACTGTTTTGGCAGCCAAGTTTCAAGCCAGGGCTAATCATTACAGCTTGAGGAGAGGGGGAAATGCGTATGTATTCCTTAATTGCAACTGTTCTGGCTTGTGGCTGGGTCTATTAAATCTGTTCCCTTGCATCATTTTTGTTCATGTGCGGCATCTACCGGAATACGTTAAGATCCTACTGGAAGCTGAAGCAAAGGTGCGCTTGCCAGTAGTTACAATGCACATCATGGGAAGAGACGTGTCAGTGCTTTGAAATGAAAACATTGGTGTCAGCTGTTCTGAAAAAGCTTTCTTTGGGATATAACCTGCATGATCATTCATATTTTTAAGGAAAAGAATGAGCTATCTGGGAGACTGCTAAAACTAAAACATTGCAGGAGTCAATGATGAAAACTGGTATAAATCTATTTGCTTTCACTTGCATGTCTGTCCTTATGAAACAGTCCTATATAATTTAATCGACGACAATCTCCTTCCTTTAGAACTTTTAAACCAAGCTGCAGAATTCTACAATCAGGATTTAATTCTACAGGATAGTTTTAAAAAAAAACACAAAACTCTAAGACTGATCTCATTCATCATTACTTTCTATGGGCCGGATCCCTGAACTATGCCAATTTAAATCATCTGGGCATCTGACTCTCTAGGTCTGTAGAGAAATTTCTATAGAATCCTATGAAATTTCTATAGAACACAACTGGTTTTTATCCTTCTAAAATTACAACTCAGCTCCATAAGGGTTAATTGTTTGTTTATCAGAGAACATAAACATTATTGTAAAAACATAAAAAATGATACATGTAAGTTACATGTGGCTTATTTATTGCTTTTAAAACCCCCTCAAAAATGTTGTGGTTCAATTTAGAGATGGGCAAAAACCAAAACCTCAAGACAGCGGACCTCTTGACCTTTGGAGTCATTCATGTGTTGGTTCTGCTCCAAACTTCGAGGCTCAGCCCTATCTTCAGTCTAAGTGATAGGCAAAAAGCAAACTATCTACTAATATCAAAAAGAACAAGGAGTACTTGTGGCACCTTAGAGGCTAACAAATTTATTTGAGCATAAGCTTTTGTAGGCTAAAACCCACTTCATCAGATGCATGGAGCGGAAAATACAATAGGAAGATATATATATATACACACAGAGAACATGAAAAGATGCGGGTTGCCTTACCAACTCTAATGAGACAAATCAATTATCTTTTCATGTTCTCATGTCTATCTTCCTACTGTATTTTCCACTCCATGCATCTGATGAAGTGGGTTTTAGCCCATGAAAGCTTATGCGCAAATAAATTTGTTAGTCTCTAAAGGTGCCACAAGGACTTCTCATTCTTTTTGCTGATACAGATTAACACAGCTACAACTCTGAAACCTGTCATCTTGCAAGCTACTAATACCAGTGTCAAATATGAAGCAATGAGACTACCTTGGAAACCATCGTGACTAGGATTTGATTCTTTTTAATTAGCAAGATGGTTTATTTTTCAGTGTGTAACTTGGCTCCTTCTTTGGCTCTTCCCCCTTCCCACCTTCTTTTAAAACACTAAATAGCTTATTCTGTATGCTTTACCTTCCCTTTTCTGTTATATGTACTAAGTGAGAGGGCCCTATTCCAGACCTGCCCCTATAAAAATAGGACAATGCTGGAGAATCAGTAGTGTAAGAGTAGTGTTTGGGTCTATTCCTTTAGAATTCGGCAGTACTTTGGTTTTTTTGTTAAATGCAGCTGAACTCCCATGGTTCTGCTTTGTTCTGGACTGAGCAAGTGAGAGAGAGCGACACACTACAGAACAAAGGGCCTCTCTCTGTGGCTGCATGGACTGTGGAGGCAGTACCCTGGGGATGTGGCCTGGATGTGGCTAGTGAATCCATCACTATATAGATCCCACACACCTAACCCTTGCCTGCAAGCCTTTCACTTATGGGTTTGCACAGGGGCCTCAGCCCATTGGCTTAACCAACCACAGTAGTGTCAATGAAGCAGCTGCATAGCCACCAGATTAATGGGGCACATGGATTCCTTCCCACTCCCAACCCCTTTTAGATCACCTGTACAAAACATTCTCACTGGGGTGTTGGTGGTAGGTTAGGATATGATCTGGCCAATGACAACCATCTCCCTCCTTAGTGTCTCATCTTTTTAAGGTAGCCCCTATTGTTCTGGTACATTACACTAATTTGTATTGTCATTTTACCACCTCTCCTCACTCCCCTCAGCTCGGGTCCTTTTCCTTATTTCCCCACCCAAGAGCATCATATCTCTTGTTTTCTTCTCCCCTGCTCCGGTTACTTCCGAAAGTCAGCCAGTCATCCTTTGCAGGGAGAATCAAAATAAAGGGAAAATAGGATTCTGAACAAAGAACCTCCACTCATGTTAGGCTGATGAATTCCCCATTCTGCTAATTACAACGCATGCTCCATCAGTAATACTCACTACTTCAGGGTTTGGCTTTTATGGCAATTGTGAAATCTATAAAAATCAAAGAAAACAGATGTCGGACATTAGGCTGGATCCTGCTGGGAGTTGTTTTTTTGTTGGCTGGAATAAATTACATGAAGAGCAGCACGTTCTAAAATGCCAAACATCCCTTGTGGCACCCCATGCATCCGCATTCAAACCCAACCAACTATTACTATCCGACACGAGCCCACAGCAGAGTGATTAATGACAGCATGTCACTGCAAATGTACCCTGGAAACACACCTGGCCACCATGTTAGGAAGCCACTTTGGAACATGCCCAAGTATCACGTATTTGTTGATGTATTTACTGTAGATGATTACGATGATGATTTTTGAAATCAAAGGCTCAGAACTACCTTCAGCAATGACCAGATCCAAAAAAAAAAAAAAACAGTGAAATTAATGGAAAGGCTCTCATTGATTTCACGGGGCTTCAGAGCAGACCCCTAAGGCAGCGGTATCCTCGCCCGTGTCCCGCCGTTGTTGCGGTGCAAGAGGCATGGCGTTACTCTTGAGGTTCTCCTAGTGCCACAAATAGGCTCTCATTTCACCCCTGCGGTGCGAGAAAATACTATGTGGAAACGCTGCCTTGTACATTACCTTTGAAATGGTAAATAGCTGAGTTTAAGCTATTAACAGGGTATTAGTTCTGAAGACTATTTAGTTTGGTCTGAGACCAGATTTTTCTCCTCATGTAATTTCTAATCCTGACTGATGGCACCATGGGCTGTACTCACAGCTCCTGAATAAGAAAAAAACAAAACAATTTACTGTACTAGCTTTCTGAGATCGGGTGACACAGAACCAACTATTAACATTTTGCTTTCTTTAGGGAACCAAGTAGTGCTCTATGCCGGTATATGCTTGTGTAGTTTTGAAATGTTCTGTCGGGGGACAGAGTAGGTTCCTTGGGCATGTCCCATCGAAAGTGTCTGGAGCTCTTAGCCAGCAATACTGGGTAAATCAGTGAATCCTACTGCAAATGCACTAAATACACCATACATGCAAACTCACCACAAATATAAATGCAGATTGCTCCCAGCTGGGTTTTAGAGCTAGTGACATGTTGCTGCTCAAGAGACTATAATCCCAATATTGGAGAATATTGCCCCTTAAAAACATCCCCATGGTTTTGGAGGCATGTTTTTGATCACAAATTGTAAACTGCAGATTTCCAGAAAGATTATCAAGCATTAGCTATTAAGCACAACAGAAAGCTCAATGTTGGTCCAGAGTCAAAAGACTGTCAAAGATCTGTTAGGTAACCTGGGGGTAGGTAACTCTTTGCAATGCTGGGGTCTGCAAGGTTGAGTTAAAATTCTGTTTAGGTGAGCAGCTGCATAAAGACTGATGAGATCTGGCAACAATCAGGCAGTGGTTCTAGTTATTTCATCCAAAAGTCAGACTTTTAAGATGAAGGTTGGAAAGTATAAACCGGAGAATTTCATTATTTGGGCATTTCTAGAGCTGTACGTACTGTGCTCCACCTTGGGAACAGCTATTTTGGCATGCAACAGTCTTTCTGGATAATCTGTGTTACATCAGTGTCCCAGCAACATAAGGCCGTGATTGAAGTGAGTCCTAGATACAAGATATATGGTGAACTTGTATTAGGAGAGACGCCAGAACAAAGAGGTAGCTGTGTCATCAAGCAGATTAATACATGTATGGTGGCTACTGTTTCTTCACTTAAACACTGGAGAGATTTGCAAGAGGAAAGCAGGCTCAAACAGGAGAACCCACTGTTAGGCAGTGTTATTAGTCCCAGAGAGGAGAGAGAGGTTAGCACGAATTTCAACGTGGAACTGAATTACTACAAAACTGGTTTGGATGTTACTGGAAGACAAACTCTCGGGTAGAGCAGATGTTACCCCATGGCTGCAAGTGCTAATCTCTAAGCAATGTACCTTTGTATCTTCCTAATGGGGGTGTATCACAGCATGGGTAGAACAAAACCCAAGCCCCTGCACTATCCTGAGTTTTAGACGCTGTCCTGCTGCAAGGTCCCAAGTTGAGAGCTGTAAAGACTGCACCCCTTTTTTAATCTGCTGAACATGTACAGCATAGACATCCCCACTGTCCTGGGGTGGCCAGGGCAGTCTCCATAGCTCTTTCAGTCCTTGTTCCCGTTGATAAGAGTGCCAGTCAGTACCTATTGTGGCAGTGCTGTGGAAACATATCCATTAGACACTAGACTGAGACTTAAGAGCTCATTTTTTGAGCAGTCAGAAGATGCTAATGACTTGCCCTCACTATCGGTCAGGGCTGAATTCCAACTGACAGCCTACAGGTGGCAACCTCCACACCCTCATTACTGATCCTCTCAGTAATCTACTGTCCCTCTAACTAGATTTTGTACAGAATATAATTCTTGTTGCTGATCAGAAAATAAAAGACTAATGACTAGTTTATCTTCTTGCGCGCATGAGAATCCTGGCGATTACCAATTGTAGGTACCTACTCACACAGTACCCACCCACCACTGTTTACTTCCAGCCATGGGGTAGCTAGCCTGGAGGCAAATCATTTCATCGTGAAGCCATGGACAGATTTCAAAGCCTCTTGATATTGCTACCGAGTGTCAATTTGGTGGTAATGCTTCCTATAAAGGACAGCTGGTTGAAACCTGGTAAGTCACCCACCGCTGTGTGTTTCTGTCTGCCTCTCATCACCTGACTGTATATCCTATTAACAGGATTTTCTTGCACATGTTGAGAGAAGAATCTGCCCAGGCTTAAAGCACCATCTCTCAATTTTCTTTATTTTAAATGCACTACTGTCAAGGTTAAAATCCTGCGTAAAATGTTTGATTTCGTCACCATATTAAAAACAGAAACTGCTCATGAAGAAAAGTTATTGTAAGAGCAATTGGCCTAGTTCATTTAATTATTTACTGCCATCTGGAGTACTGACTTAAAACATAAGCCAAACAACCGCAGCTTCTCTTTTGGGTCACAAGACAGAGGGCATCTTCATCTGGCCAGGGAAGAGCAATACAGATGCACATGTGAAAAAATGACTCATGTGGCAGGTCTCTAAGTATGACCTGTATGGCACTGGAATCTGGATAGGAATCTTACAAGGAGGAAGAGAAGGGCCAGACCCCTAGCTGGTGTAAATCAGCATAGCTCCATTGGCTTCCAGTATACATTACTGAGGATCTGGCGTAAGTGCAGAACATGACTCGGAACACCATTTGGGATGTCGGGGGGGGGGGGGGTAAATTTAGTTCCCAGGAAACAGGGGAACCAACAGGCCTAGTGCGGAGACAAGTATCCAGTGTGCAGAACCTCTGAAAACTCTGTGGCACTATAGAGATGGGGTGGAAGAGAAGAAACAGGGGCAGAACTTGATAGCGGGCTGACAAACATGGTATTCTGGTGGCTAGGCAGCTCCTCTAAAAGGCAAAGGACCCACGTGCTGTCTTTCCAATTCAGGCTAGTTATGCTGAATGTAGAAGGCTTTAAAGTGTATCCATGGCTTTTTATACAATGCAGTCTCCTCACCCAATCCAACCAGGAGGAGGAGGACAGAAAACCAACACCAAACAACAGCTACCCAATGACACCACACACAGCATTTAGGCATCTTACACGAGAAACACTTGGGAACAGCCTTTGCTTTTGCCATCACACACGTGGAAACCTTCTTACAATGACTATTGGTTACTGAGAAACAGAAAGGAGTTGGCATGGGTTTAGTCCAGTTAAGAGAGCTCAACAGCATGGTTTGCAATCACAGGACATACAGGGACCGATCCTGCAGTCAGCGGAGTCCCACGTGCACAGCAGCTGCAGGATCTGGCCCAAACGTTGTAGGTGCAATTCTCAAACTGATACTTCTTAACAATCAACGTCTTGACATTTCACAGCTATTCTCTTCTGAAATCATAAATCAACACACTTACCACAGGGGCTTTGGGCTTGACCCAAATCAAAGCAAGTCAATGAGGGATCTGCCACTCTCTTCGGTAATGATTTCAATATCCAGGCCCTGATTCTGCTATCGTGATTCATGCTGCTTAGTCACATTTGGCCCAAAATTTAGGCTTTGTAAAATCTTGGAATTTAAACATTATTAAAATGCTGATTTTTAAAGAAAATCCACAGACTTTTCCGAAACAAATACACGTTTCCTTGTGGTGTTTGCAACCTGAACACTGCAGCTTTGTGCCAGTGCATGAGACACAGAATGTGAAATTGACTAAGGTCCTGATCCTGCAAAACACTTATGCATATGAGAAGCCCCATTGAACACCACAGATTAACTCACAGGGCTTAACATTTAAGCAGAATCGGGGTCTGGAACCATAAGTGAAACCAACATGTCTAATTTCACTGTCTATGCTGAGAGAAATGTAAAAGCAGAGAGAATAAATAGCAAAACTTTTACAATTTTGAACATTCTTTGAATTTTAACAGTCTGAGCTGTTATCAGTGACACAGGTAAGAAATAGTTTAAAATAGAAACAAATACGATTTCCAACCTGGAAGATATGCCTTTGCCCAACACAGATCTCAATATTTTGGGTTATTTTTCACATAGTGTTTTAATCTACTATTTTTCGGGAAAAAAAGTAGCTAATGTATGTGTCAGGACATAGTATAATTGCTGGAAAAAATCCTTATTTGTACAACGATGTAAGATGGGCAAATGAAGTATTTTCAATGGTGAAGTAACATTTTAGATAGGATTGATGCGTCTCTCTCTCTCTCTCATGTTCCAGATATTCAGTAAAGAATGAGGGTGCAATAAAGGTTTGTACTTTATAATATTAATGATCAACATCTCCTCTGGGTACTGTCGCATCTGCCCTGTCATCCTATGTTGATTACCTAGCGTCTCTAGAGATGGGGGAATCCCTGCTGTACGCATCTGGTTGACAATCAGCAGAGAACGTTCAGTTCCTACAGATCTGCCACGGGGAAAAGTCACTGCATGTATTGAGAGCAGCCTACCTAATTGAAAACAGATGTATACCACTTTCAAATTCTGGCAGGAACCCAGAAGTTTATCATCTATCTGGGTCAAGTCTTTTTGTTGCATGAGGTTTCATAGTGATTTTGATCCATAAATAACAAAGATAGATGTTTCTGAAGGGAAACCTAAGAGATACTTATTTCCAGCTAGCACTGCTACTACAGAAATGGAGAATGGTTTTCCCATCTAAAATGACCAGGGTGTAATTCCCATTTCCTGCAGGAGACAGAGAAGCAGTGAAACTGTAAACTAGGCATACATTTGTTGATCTTCAGATCGGGAACTGTTGTAGAAGATGGAGCAGTGGTTTCACCACCGGCATGAGCTATAGATTTGGTGATGCAACGTACACTTCCAACACAGACATAAGAGGTATGGCAAAATTATACCAATGCTGTTCCTTTTTAATTGCAAAAGTTGTGTGCAATATTTTGTGACATGCTCTCAGAGTCCAACTCTCAAAGCACAGGTGCATGCCAACAAAGTTAACCAAGGCAAATCTTTTCCTTAGTCTTGCACAGCCAAAATGCAAACTTCTCACTACCAACAGCTGGACTCCAAATGATACACAACAGTCAGAGCAGTAAAAACTGCAGCCTGGAAATTATGCTACAGATTGGCCTGACAATGGAAGTGCACAAATGAACTCCAGAAAGTATTAATGAAGTTTGCTAATTCCACCTGCACCTCAGAGGTGGTAGCTGGCTTCACAGATAAAAGTATGGGAAGGAGGTAGTAGAAATTAGAAAAGAGAGTCAGAGCACCAGCTTTGAAGCCCTGATTCACCAAAGCAGTTGAGCACACACTTAACTTTAATAATGAATGCAATGGAACTCAAGCATGTGCTCCACGGACATCTTTAACTGCTTTGCTCAGCTGGGTCCCAAAACAGCACCTGTCGAATGTGCTTTGTTTTTGCTTCCCTACATGTGGAGATGGCAATATTCATTTAAATATCAGTCATTTTTCCTAAATACTTCCTCCCTCCTGGAGTGGCCTCTGGGTCCTAAGTCTAATTTCCCTCGCATGTTGCTTGACCAGGATGAATGGCAACAGGTCTCTCATAAGTGTGGAACAGTGACTAAGGAACACGGGCTAATTCACACACAACGGGTGTGCAAAACCAGAGGGGATAGCTTGAGCTTGACTGAAAACAGTCTTATTTCAATGCTTCTACATTGCTGGCATGAAGTCAGTATAAATACTCAGAGAATAGGGTCCCCTGGTTTAGCTGAAGTGGAGATATCCTGACCATTACATGAATCATCCAGGATGTACCCAGGAGCTTTCAGTCTAAATGCCAAAATCAGCTGTCTCCCACAGGAGGAGACATTATGATTATCTTGATTTTTTTCTCTCTCATTTTACATCAAAATTACCTATAATGTTCAACATGAACTGGACAGTGTGACTTCTTTGAGTTCAGTTAAGGAGGCAATGGCCAATCTTAGCAAACAGGAAGAGGCTGCAGATGGAATTCCACCGCTGAACCAGTTCTTTAATAAAACTGGAACATGGTTAACGAAACTGAATGGCAAAAGGTATTACACAGTGCCAACAGGCCTGACCCTTTGAAGCCCTGAGCATCTTCAATTCCCCTTCTCAAGAGGGACTCATCACCTCACAGAATTGGACCCTTGTAGGAACTCTTATAGGTTAAACAATTATTCTGAAAAAACTGTGCGATAAGATTAGGTGTCGTGAATAACTAAAGATTTGACCATCTTATTCTTGTACAGCTAGTCACTGATTCCGTCTCAAACATTTTAGCAGATTACTTCTGGGCAACAAATGGGGTCAGAAATACTCGTGTAAATTAGAGTAATTCCACTGTAAACACTGGAGCTACTCTCACCCCCAACTTATATCAGTGTCTGCAAGAGCCGAATCTCACGGACAGCCATAACACTCCCTGTGTATCAACCTCTAAAAATAGTCATTTCAATTTTCTTTTTAAATGTACAATGGCTATTTGATCAGGCACCACACTGTGCAACTCACCTACTTTTAAAGAGTTGTCACTAGCTCTCTAACTCCTAGATGTTAAGCAGTTAAGATGAAGGCAGAGCGCTTTTGCTGAATGCTACTTACCCATCCCCTTGGTGTGGTTGAAGTCTCCTTTCACCACTTTACAGGTTTTGCCATCTCCGTTGCAGATCCCACAGCGATCCTCTTTGGCAGCTGAGCCAATGATCCCATCGCAGCCGATTTTCTAATGACAACAACCAGAGGCGCTCGTTATTTCATTTACAAGGCTAAAGTGTCGCTAAACCGGGCTGACTGAAAAGCTGAACAGGAAAAGAACGTTGAGAGTCAGGAGATCATTCAGTCAGTACGGCATTGGCTTGGTTAGTCAGCAAAACACTCTTGTTCAATAGCAAATGCACAAACCACCTTATAAAAAGCTTCCCTGTTGTAAGCAACATCATAAAACCCTAGCTATCCAAGGCACATTGGTGTATTTGCACTAACATGTTTAAATATTAACAGATTACAAGGATACTCTGTATTTTATAGCATCTTCCATTTGAGGATCTCAAATAACTTTACAAATATTAATTAACCTTCATAATACCCTTGTGAAACCAATATATACCATGAGTCCCATTTTGGAAATGGGAAGAGAGGCACTGAGAAGTTCAGTGACTTGCCCAGATTCACACTGGAAGCTTAAGGCAGAGCTAGGAACAGAATCCAGGTATCGGAGTTCCAGTTTCATGCCTTCACCACAAGTTCCTCCGAGATTATGCCTGAGGTCCTGATCTATTGCTCACGGAAGTATCAGGGCATTGTATCAGGACCTCGCTGACGACACTAACATTCAGCATCTATTACATTTTCACTATTTGAACTGAATGGCTCAGGATGCTAGTGCTCAAGTCCACATTTTCAGCAGATCCCATTAACTGAACACCAGAAACCCACATTTATGTTATCAAGAATTTAGGGTCACAATAAATGTATCAAGAATTTAGGTTCACTGATCTGTAAGTGCAAACTGCTGTATGCATGCACAGATGTGACATTTTGCCAATGCTCCCACTGTATTCAGTTTTGACTTTTTTTTGCACCTAAATGATCCTAAAAATATTTAAGAATTTAACCCAATGCTTCAGTTGAAAAGGCATTTGGATTGTAGTGATAGTCACGATTTTACATACATGCCTAAAGCAGTTACCACTAAAAATCTTTACCGTTTCACCCCATAAGCAAACACTGGGACATTTTGTGCTCTCCCTAATCCTTGCTCTCATGGTGGAACCCTGACTAAGGACCCCTGACTTTTCAGCTTCACACCTCATGAGAGGAGGCATGCTCTTCAACTACTCTGGCTGAGCTACGGGGTGGGTACGGGGTCTCCCCAGCCTGAGTCCAACTGGAACCTCATTGCTTTCTCCATGAGGTGCTTTTTAAACTGGAGTTCTGGCACCTTGCAAGTCTGGTTTGGAACGGAGTGACAGATACTGCACGTAAGGGAGATATGAACTTCTTTCTCCAAGGCAGTAAAGACACTGCTGATGCTTGTTGCTGACTGAGAAGGAATGGGGGCAGGAGAGAATTTCTGAAGCCTGGTAATCCTGGGCATAATCTAAGCCAGGGATCGGCAACCTTTGGCATATGGCCCATCAGGGTAATCCACTGGCAGGCCGCGAGATGTTTCATATCGTTGACAATCTGCAGGCATGGCCCTCTGCAGCTCCCAGTGGATGCTATTTGCTGCTCCTGGACAGTGGGAGCTGTGAGAAGCTGTTGCTTGTGTGGACCTGATAACGATAGATAGCACTTGACTGATACACAGCTTTCCTTGTAACTTGGCAGGACAGCAGGCAGCCATATATTTCCAGCTGCATTTGAACAACCGCACACAACTGGATGGATAAATGTGGCAAACACTTCAACCAACTTTATTGCAAGTGTTATGAGACCAGCCCACAGGATTGTAGAGGAGGTAAGTAGAGAGAGGAGGATCAACAACACAGGAATGCAAAGGACCAGATCTCTGGATCTACACTGGGGTTCTTCATAAACCTTAAACCATGAGGGCGATGTAGGACAGCCAAGTAAAGATAAAGAGGGAACGGCTCTGTGCTTTTCATGTTTTTAAGGCAAATTTTCACACAGGGATGCTACCTAATTAATGCCCCATAAGTATGAGTCAGGCCATGTAGGATAGTGAAATAAATATCTAATGCGCCTTGATATGTCAATGTATCTCATATAGTAAGTACATAATGATATTCATAAAGACATGCTGATTCTAGCTCAGCTGACCAAATTACATAGAAGAATCATAGAAGATTAGGGTTGGAAGAGACCTCAGGAGGTCATCTAGTCCAACCCCCTGCTCAAAGCAGGACCAACACCAACTAAATCATCCCAGCCAGGGCTTTGTCAAGCCTGACCTTAAAAACCTCTAAGGATGGAGATTCCATCACCACCCTAGGTAACCCATTCCAGTGCTTCACCACCCTCCTAGTGAAATAGTGTTTCCTAATATCCAACCTAGACCTCCCCCACTGCAACTTGAGACCATTACTCCTTTTTCTGTCATCTGCCACCACTGAGAACAGCCTAGCTCCATCCTCTTTGGAACTCCCCTCCAGGTAGTTGAAGGCTGCTATCAAATCCCCCCTCACTCTTTTCTACATGCAGAACATGAGAAATTTTTTTAGTGGCGAGCTGATGAGGTACTTTGTTTTTCAGAATGATCAATTACACCCAGCCCCAGAACCTTTCTGATGAGGGTTTACGATGTGAATTACAATATCACGTACAAGTACTGCTATATCAAGGAAAGGATGAAATCTTAGAGTAGCCAGACTCTCACGATGTCAGAGACATGTTTGGAGTAGGGATGTACCTCGATTTCTGTGAGTTTAATCAATAACTTAAATGGGAGCAGAGTTAGGTCAATGCTGATCGCTTAGGAAAATCCCACCTCTGGATACAGTCAACAAACTATCAGATGGACCCAATCCACCTCTAGTCTAATGGGCACATTTTTATGGCACGAGTTGCCCTGCAAGTCAGAAAACACGGGACACACATGGTTAGGTGTTACCTTGCAGTATAAGGCATATGTGACGCACATGTTAATGACAACATCCATTAGAGACACACTCAAGATCTCCCGCAAAACAAAGGTGCAACAACAGCTTCATCATGGCCACTGACAAAAAGGGTGAGGAGAGGCTCTTCTGGAAGCAAATGGTGTTTCTTGGGCAACTGGCAAACCATTTCCCCACACACTGACCACCTCATTTTGCTGTGACTTCACTGACACCTCTTGATGTCTATGCCCCATGGGTCTGATAGCACAGAGGGCAAATAGTGTTTCTTGGGCAACAGACAAACCATTTCCCCACACACTGACCACCTCATTTTGCTGTGACTTCACTGACACCTCTTGATTTGTATGCCCCACGGGTCTGACAGCACAGAGGGTGGGAGTGGGTGTGTCCAACACATCATAAAGTGCAAAGTTGATAAAGTAAGTCACTTCATGGGGCAGCATGTATCGCAAGTTTTGACAGAATCTATAGAGCACTCTAGGGTCGAATGGTTAGACCATACTGCTGGTTCATTTCATTCTGGAGGGATACTCTATGATCCCACCAAACAGAGAGAATAAAAAGGAAAGGAAGTAACTGTGGCATGTTTTTACTCTGTATGCAATGCACAAGATGGCCCCGCAGGAGAAGAGTGTCTTTGTATTTCCGGGGGAGGACAAAAATGGATGGTAATGCTGGTGTAAATACCACCAGCTCATCTGGAAGACCTCATAGCTGACTTCTCCAGTACCAGCCCTGCTCTTGAAGCCCTCAGGATTCTTGCCCTTGGGGATTTCATTGTGCACGCTGACATCAGCACAGTACAGGCCTTCCTTGAAGTGATGGACTCTAGATTTTGCCCAGTGGTTCTGGCTTCTGCCCAAATTGGTTGTTGAAAACCAGAGATGTGGCTGTGGTACTGTTATTAACCAGTATTATAAAGCATCACTTTGTACAGGGAATATGATGGAGGCCCCCGATAAAATAAAGTGCCTTGACATGGGAGCGGTTGCCAGCTGATTTTCAAATGGGGTTTAAAGCCCTATAGGGTGAGCACCTGGCTATATTAGGCCCCTTGACAAGCCTCCTGGTTGACCTTGTGCTTTGACACCATCAATGTTTAGGAGTAATCAGTCACTCCTTATGCCTTTGCTGAGTGAGCCATATGGCATGGAACTCATTCTCTTTGAGCAGGCATCTCGGTCCACTCCTCCCTCCCCTTTTTAAATAATTAAACATCTGAAAATATACTTGATGGGGGGCATTTTCAGTTTCAAGCATTGCTGGCCCTTACATAGGAACCCTCCCCTCTCCTTTTTAATGATACCATAATCATTTGGATTCCTAAGCATGTGGTCTGGTTTGCATATTATTTGAGTATTGCTTTAACAATGATTTTATTTGTATTTTGAATGGCTGTACAAGAGCCTCTGAGTGTGTGTGTTTTGCTATATAAATACAATTATTATTGTTATGTACACCCAACCCAGTGTCAGACCTGACATTGTATGTTCACAGAATTGTAATGCTTCCCAGATGTTGAGCTAAACACATTGTCTCAATGGATCAACTATAAATATTGATTCAACATGTGCCAGTCTGCAAATTAATCATGTACAGAACATGCTGGTTAGGCCAGACTCATGTGCATTGCCAACTTTTCTCCATAATATCCAGTGTTCATTTATAGTTCAAGGGATGGAACACATGAAACAGGAATGTACACAGGTGAGTAGGTGATGTCAGACTGGAGGTTAAGAGAAGTCCTGTTTCCTTACTGAAAGCACAGCTGCATCCAGTGACGTGGTTTATGGGCTTCTGCTTTGATCCGTGAATGGAAGCTACCCGAGGACGCTACTCTAGTAGCTAGTTTGAACATTACTGCCCGCTCCGTTTCGCTTCCATTTGGGTTTTACACTAAATGGGGGTGCTACAAACAAGAGTAGAAACCAACAAAAAATCCCTGTCTGCAGGGAAAATAAATAGTGCTCCAGCCAGCAGCATTTTCTGAACCTTCAAAGTTTGCTTCAGTCATGGAGCCACCCTTGGGGCAGGGTGGGTGGGCAATGTCCATCCTGTTCTGAATTAGATACATTCAATGGATAAACTTCAGTGTATCTGTGTCTCTATATTACCCAGCCACTTAACCCTACAATTATTT